TTTAGACGATCTTGAAAAGGTTAAATTACAACCAGTACATGGAATAAAAACAGGCATCGATGAAATTCCTGCGGATGATAATTTAGATTCGTTCAAAGACTCTGATATTTCAATTAATTCCAGTTTTACTGAAACACGTAACAATACAGGTTATTATTTTACTATATATAAGATTCCTAATTTAATCTTTTAACTCTTACTTTTAAAGGGTTTAACCTAATTTTCATATAATTATTACTTTGTAGACAAAAGTCTTCAAATTGTTAATGTTTATTCTGGAAATTTAACTGAAAATAGATCGCGACCAGTACATACAACAAAAGTCGATATAAGTGAAATTCCTACAAATGCAAGTTCGCATTCGTTCGATTATCCTAATATTTCAATTAATTACAGCTCTAACAATACAGGTCGTTGTTTTACCATTTGTAATATTGCGCATATAACATTTTTTAACTATATCTGAACTATTCCTTTTAGAAGACACAAATAACTCTATAGGTAAATTCAAAATTTTATTTCAAGTTACTACAAAAAAAATAATTTTCATATTATTCTTAACTTTATAGTGAAGCACGCTTACAACGCATTTAGCACATTCAGTGCATTCATGCCTTGGTTTGATGCGGTGACCAGAGTTATCGACGAAATTCTCAGTATTCAAGAAGATACCGAATACAATAGTGATACTTGTTTAATTCTAGCTGACCGTGTTGATGTTGTCTCGCCGGCCGTAAGAAATTTGAAGAGACAAAAAAAAGCAAACGAAAAAAATTTTCAGAATCATGCTTTTAATTGCGCATTCGTAAAGTTTCATAAAGTTTTAGTAGACATTCGAGAATTCATAAAAGATATTTCGCAACTTAACGGATTACGTAAATTTACATGCGCTGATGAAATTAAAATAAATTGTAACAAACTCTTGCAGTCATTTGAAGCGGTTTGTCACGAACTACGGTTTAATATAATAATTACGTTTGAAGACCGGGAACGCGAACAAAGAATACTAGTCGAAGATGTCCTTAAAACTCAAAAGGTATGATTAATTTGTATTTATTGTTTTAC